AAGAACCACAAGACGGGAAGGTGGTACTCTGGAAAGATGAACAAAATCGACAAACCACTGGCAATCTTAACAAAGGGCAGGAGGGGAAATGCAAATATCACAAGAAATGGCACAGGCAACACCAACAGAACCAAAATACGACAACTCAATATTATGACAGACCGTCCTCCAGCAAATTTGAAAACCTAGGAGAAACAAATATCTAGAAGCACACTGTTTAACTAACACAAATTGATGTGGGAAAGCTCAACAGACTCATAATAAAGAAGAACTAGTCAGATCCTTGAAAATCTCCCAACCAAATCTATTCTAGGACCAGACAGCGTCAACAGGAATTCAGAGAAGACTGGATACCAGTTCTATGCAAACTGTTCCAGAAAATAGAAAAAGAAAATTCAGCAGACTCCTGAATTCATTCTACAAATGTGCACTACCTTGATACCAAACCAGGGAAAGATATTCCCAAAACTACCAAAATTGGAAATCACAGACCAATATCTCTTATAAGCATAGATGCAAGCATTCTCAATAAAATCTTAGCCAATAGAATTCAACAAGATATTTGAAAAATAGTACATCATGACCAAGTGGGATTCATGCCAGGTATGCAAGGAAGCTTTATCATTACAAAAATAATCAATCTTAGATTGTATAAAGAAAGGAAAACAATTACGGCATAGTGGATACAGAAATTGATTCAGAAAAGGCATTTAACAAAACTACACACCAGTCCTAATAAAAAATACTCAACAAAATAGAAGAGAAATTACTCATCATAATAAAGGCCATCTATACAAAACCAACCTCTTGCTCATGGGGAGAAAGTTACAGCCTTTCTTTCATGAACAGGAAGCAGACATGGATGCCTTTGATCATTATTCTTATTCAATGCTGTGCTGGAAATCCTAACCATAGCTATTAGCAAACACAAAGAAATCAAAGGCATCCAAATTGGCAAAGAAGAAATAAAACTCTCTATTTACAGATAGTATCATTCTATACATAGAAAACCTCAAAGAAGCAACAAGAAAATTGTTGGAAATAATGGAAAGATTTGGCAACACAGTAGGGTACAAGATCAACATACAAAGATCTATCAGTTTCCTACATACAGAGAACACTAAAAAAGAAATAATAATAATAAAAAAATCAAGATCATTAACAATAGCCACCTAATGAAAGACTTAGGAATAAATTCAACCAGAGAAACGAAAGAATTACACACACAAAATGCCAAACTACCTCAAGAAACCTAAAGAGACTTACATAAATGGAAGAAGGTTTCATGTTCATAGAAATGAAAACTTAACATTGTGAACATGTCAATACACCAAAGCAATCTATAAATATAATGTGATTTTGATCCTTATTCCAGCATAGTTCTTTAAAGAGATAGAAAATTAATCACCACCCACATATGAAAAGGAAAGACACCCAGGATAAGTATAACTAACGAAAAGCAAAGTAAGAGACTTCTCACTTCCCAACTTCAGAACCTACTACACAGCCACAGCAGTCAAAACAGGCTGGTACCGGTGCCACAAGAGATCCGCGGACCAAAGAACCAGGACAGAGAGCCCGGAAACAAACCCTCCGCTTACAGACAACTGGGGAGGAGATTGGTTTCTCAACAAATGGTCCTGGCAAAACTGGATTTCCATTTACAGAAAAATGAAACAGGTCCCATACCTCACTCAAAAATAAACAAATAAAACTCCATATGGACTAAAGCCCTAATGATCATCAGTGGAAAAATAGGGACAAAGATAGGGGTCCTAAATACATCGTCAGATACAATGGAAAAGACACACACAGCAGAAGACAGAATAGATGACTGGTTTCTCCTAACAATAAGACATGTGTGTGCATCAAAAGACTTCACCAAAGAGAAGGAGAGGACCCATAGACTGGGAGAAATTTTTTGTCAATGATAAATTAGAAGAATTCACATCAAGTCGATTCTGACTCATAGTGAGCCTATATGACAGGGTGGAACTGCCTGTGTGACTTTCTTAGACTATTAACTCTTTACTGTGGTTTCGAACTGCTGACCTTGCGATTAGCAGCCCAATGTGTCACCACTATACCACCAGGGTTCCCATGATGTTTTGGACAAGAGACTCATTTCTAAAATCTATGGAAAATTTCAATTCCTCAACTGGAAAAAGATAAATAATCCGATTAAAAATTGGGCAGAGGGCTTATATAGACAATTCACCAAAGAGGACGCTCAGGTGGCCAGTAAACATGAAAAAGTGTTCTTTGCCATTCAAGGGAAGAAAATCAAAACCACGATGGGTGACATGCCACCTGACTCCAGCCTTGAGAGGAAAGTTTAAACAAAACAAAGTAACCAATGCTAGCAAGAGTTCAGAGCGACTGGAACTCTCACACACTGCTGATGGGGATGCAAAGTAAACCCCTGTGTAAAGTGGTAGGACACTTCCTCAGACAATTGGGACTGGAAATGCCATATGACCTAGCAATTCCTCTGCTTGATATATACACGTCCTAAGGAAAGAACAGAGCACAACACATATGCGCACACCCATGACCCCCACAGCACTGTTCATAACAGCAAGAAGTTGGAAACAACCTGAAGGCCCATCAGTGGAAGGCCGGATCGGTAAACATTGGCATATACACGCAATGCAATACTAGGCACTGATAAGAATAATGGTGAAACACATCACGATATGGATAGATTTGGAGAACCTTATCCTGAGTGAAGTTCATCAATTACAAAATGACAATTATTGCTATGAGGCCACTGGTATGTAAAAAAAAAATCAAGATAAAGGTTTTCATGACAAAAATAAATAAAGACTGATGGTTATCAGAGGTGGGAAGGGAACCGAGGGAACAGGTAATATAGGGCAAAGAGTAGATAGGCATTAACTTCATAGAAGAAAAGCTAATATCCTACAAGAGACAAATGAGCGAAAAAGGGTGAGGGAGATTCAGGAGGTACAAGATTAGGGTTGGCGGTGTGGTGGGTTCAGAGGTATTAGAGTTGTTGAACACAAAAATGATGATCTGATATATAAACCCCCACCTAAATAACATTAAAAATGGTTTTGTAAAAGGAAAGGAAACAGTAAAATTGTGCTTGTTGGTGATGGTATTTCAGGGGGTTCGTACAATTTTACAACCAGTCATGCAATTTGAAATTACAGAGTTATAATGGAGTTACATAATTATGTAAATCAATGATGTTCATGGAAATAATGTCTATTCATGTGTTTCAGATATTAAATTATTTGAGTTTTTGTTAAAGACAAGCATGTTCTCTAAGACTGTACATGAGCATGGCACTGTGTGTACAGAGCTTGGTCTTCAGGTAATTTTTCTCCCCAGGTGATTTCTTGTTCTTATTTGCCAAACCCTTCTTGAGACACATAGAGTGAGAAAGAGAACTTAAGAGGAATAGGGTAATTTTCACTCTCAGGTATCCTTACAATGTCATGTGCAAAAACTGATGTCCAGAGCTTTTTCTCCGGGGAAGGTCTTCTCCAAGCTTATTCCACAGATAGAGAGGTATCAGCTCCCTTCACATATAGCCCATAGTTATCAAATACTGAGAATGGTTTGTAGTTCAATGTAAGCTTTTCATGCGCATTTATGTTGCTATATTTAAATGCATTTCTACATATTGCCTTATATGATTGAAAAATCTTATTATCAGCCATTTTAATAGACTTAGTTTAGAATCATCACAACCAGTGTTTTCTCAACTGATGAAAATAATTTGTACCAATTTGTATATTTGATTCATGCAACATAAAATTTATTTCTCAAGACATTCATTTAATTACTATTATATTATGAAAAAATCATGGAATGGTGTTACACACTTAATGATTTTTTAAAATCTTTGAAAAATTCATTTGTTAATAATGAAGACTGCTTATATTCAAAATTCTCTTGTCCTTTTCAGCATGAAAATTGTAGTTGGCATGCTATAAATGACATCTTTTAGTACAAAACAATAAAGAGTAATCATCATATTAAAAATTCCTATTGATATCATAATTTGAGAGAAATTTTACAATATATAAAGTTAACTTGTGGACTATGTGCCAACTGCTCAATTTATTGATTGCATTTGTAAAAAATTTGTACTCATGAACTATTTAAATCCAGGCTTCACAACTAACTGAATATGTATGAACACACTTTTTTCTCGCTTCTCATACACTTTTGACATGAGATCAAAAAACAAATACAATGTCAAAACATTTTGCAACACATCACACGAACTGAAAAACCTCCTAAAAACAAAAGAGAAACCTGATGTTTACCAGGGAATTTATAAGCGTTTCTTGAAGAAAAGTGATGTTGAAATGAAAAGCTCTGGTAAGCCGAGCAGTATTTTAGAAACATAAAACCGATATTTTAAAAATAATCAAGATGTTCCTACCAAAAGAAGCAGACTGTGATGATTACCAGGTGTCAGGGAGAAGGGGCAGGAAGGGTAAACAGTAAACAGATGCGTGGACAGGTGCTACCTCCGGATGAAGGTGCAGATAATATCCTACAAGAAGGTGTGGGGGGGGGGACCAAAAGAGGGTGTCAGACGCAGGGGACCAGGGAAGCCATTGGTAGGTTTGATCAATTAGTTAAGTTGTTGAATGCTGATGTGTAAAATGAGTTGATACCATGAGCTCATACAATTGATGTGTGGACAAGAGCTGCAAGAGCCCCCCAGTAAAATGATTTCTATATATATGTTTTTTAATCTCAAAACTAGCTATTCTGAGGATGTTGCATCAGCGTACTCATCTAAGGATGTCACGTTTTGGAGTTGTCGCCCAACATCACTCTCGAGAGATTCTCGCAGGTGGTTCGTGACATTTCCGGGCTGCGTTTTCACAAAGGCATTCCGCGGACCGGAGCGGGCGCCCTTGACTCGGCCCCACGGCTTGGGATGTCCGGATCCGTCTGGCCTGCGGGGCGGGGCCGGGGGCGGAGCCGGCCGCTGTCATCACCAGCGCCGCCCAACTGCCGGGCTTCTAGGTCCGGGGACTGCTCGGTTGGGCCCAGATCCACTGCGATCCTCCCCGCGGCTGCTTCTGCTGGGTGAGTGCTCCCCTCAGTGGGGCTGAGAGCTTTTAGAGGTCGGTACCAGGCGCAGGAAGGCACGGGCTCCGTGGTTTCTGCTGCTGGAAACCTGAATCATTTTGAAATATTCCTGTATTTGGCATTTACTGCCCTGGTAGCATAGTGGCTAAAGAGTTGAATTGCTAACTTCCACGTAAACAGTTCAAATCCGCCAGTTATTTTGTGGGAGAAAAACAAGGAAAAGAAAAGGCTCTCTACTTCCTTAGATTTTTAGAGACTCAAGGGGCAGTTCTACTCTGTCCTGTGGGGGATCACTGCCTTGGGATCCACTTGGTGGCAGTAGCTGACTCATAATTTGGGCACAGTTCTCAGGAATCTATTCTGACTTCGGATGTCTGGACTGCGGTGCCCCACCTCACCAATGAGGCTGAGCCCGAGATTTGCTTGGGAACAGGGTCTTCCTGGTCAGACCTGAGAGTTCTTCCTAAACCAGACAAAGGTCACAGTAGTTCAGACCAGCCATTTTCAAGGATTTTGTGGCAATCTATAACAAAACCAAGAAAATCTAGTTCCTTTTGTGTTTTATTTGCTTTAATTTTGGTGGCGATGTGCAGTGTGCACAATGAAGCGCCCAGTTTCTGCAGAGATAGTCCAGTGAACTTGATTACGTACTTCATGTTGTTACCGGTCTCCCTTTCTCAATCTACATGGGCACATCACAATTAATTTACACTCTCTGCCCCTTCAGGGTCTCATCTGTGCATTAGATTCACTTGCCAGACAATTCTTTCTATGTGTTCAGTGCCCAAGGCACACACATTCTTTGCACTAATTTACTTGTTTAGTTTAATGATGGCTCGTGGAATAGTTTCTGTTCAAGATTTAAAGTTTATTCCAGGGCAATAGACTATGGGGTTCCCCCAGTGTCAATAGCTCCAGTAAGTCTCACAAACATATAAATTTGAAGGTGTGCTCCGTGCTTTCCCTCTGATCACATCAGGACCCATACTTGATCACAATGTTCAGTAATGGTAGTTAGCTGGACACCATCTGTTTCTTCTGGTCTCGCAGCAGAGAGGAGGCGATTAAACCTGCAGTTCATTTCATCCTCCAAGCCTGGGTTTCCTTTTTCCTCTGAGGTGAATAGAGACCAGCTGCTGTATCTTGGACAGCCTCGTGCACGTTTTTAAGACACTAGAAGCCACTCGTGGAGCTAGGACGTAGAAAGGACGCCGAAAGCAATTTCAGGCTAATGGACTGAACAGACCCAGGAAGCCATGAAAACTAATCTGATGGACTGTTTAGTCATACTTAACTAATATCAACAGAGGCAGCCTTTTAAATCACTGCTTTCCAGAAAGTGATTTCCCCTGTTCTGCTCCTACCCATGGTAACCACTTGTAACCATTGCTCTCTATATAATTTTTGTCTCTATATAATGTTTGTTATTTTATAGGGGAACCCTGGTGGGACAGTGGGCTAAGCGGGCTGTTGGGCTCCTATCTGAAAGGTCAGCTGTTTGTACCCCCAAGCCGCTTAGCAGGAGAAAGATAAAGCAGTTGTTTCTTTAAAGCTTAGAACCTCAGAAACCCCATGCAGCCGTGCTGCTCTGTTCCACATTGTTGCTCGGTGCTGTCCGGTTGGTTCTGACTCACAGCAACTCAAACAACTAAGCAAACAACCTTATACACAACAGAGCAAACAATATTGCTCAGTCTGGCATTTTCTTATGTTCTCAATTGTTCTTATGTTTTAGCCCATTGTTGTAGCCACTGTGTCAGTCCATCTTTTGAGAGCCTTCCTCTTTTTTGCTGCCCCTCCACTTTCCAAGCATGATGTCCTTCTCCAAGGACTGGTCTCTCCTGATAACATGTCCAAAGTACATGAGATGAAGTCTTGCCATCCTCGCCTCTATGGGACATTCTGAATATACTTCTTCCAAGAGAGATCTAATCTATTGATTCCTTTGGCAGTTCATGATATTTTCAATATTCTTCACCAATACCATGGTTTGAATGCATTCATTCTTCCTTTTTTCATTCTTCCTTATTCATTGCCCAACTTTCACATGCATATGAGGCAATTGAAAGTCTAAGGCTTGCATCTGGCACACCTTAGTCCTCAAAGTTACATCCTTGCTTTTCAATACTGTAAAGATGTTTTGTGGAGTAGATTTACCCAGTGCAATGCATCTTTTAATCTCTTGACTTCTGCTTCCATGAACATTGATTGTGGATCCAAGCAAGATGAAATATTTAGCAACTTCAATCTTTTCTCCATCTCTCATGATGTTACCTACTGGTCCAGTTGTGAGGATTTTGGTCTTCTTTACAGAGTTGTAATCCACACTGAAGGCTGAAACCCTTGACCCCTTCATCAAGTGCCTCAAATCCTCCTCACTTTCAGCAAGCAAAATTGGGTCATCAGCATTATAAGACATAGTTCATAAGTTTTGCTTCAATTCTGATGTCAAATTCTTCTTCATATAAATCAGCTTCTCTTTGATTATTTGCTTAACATGCATATTGAATAAGTATGGCGAGAGGATATAACCCTGACACACATCTTTCCTGATATTGAGCATCATTCCCTTGTTCTGTTTGCACAACAAGTTTCTCAGGAGCACAATTAAGAGTTCCGGAATTTCCATTCTTCTCAAAGTTACCCATCATCTGTTGTGATCTACATGGTCAAATGCCTTAGCATGGTCAATGAAAGACAAGTAAACAACTTTCTAGTATTCTCTACTTTCAGCCAAGATCCATATGACATCAGTAATCATATCCTTTGTTCACGTCCTCTTCTGAATCCAGTGGAAACCTGTCAATGTATTACTGCAACCTTTGTTGGATGATCTTCAGTAAAATATCACTTGCATATGATATCAATACTGTTCTATAATTGTGCATTCTGTTGGACCACCTTTCTTTGAAATGTGTACAAATATGAATCTCTTCCAAGCAGTTGACCAAGTAGCAGTCTTCCAAATTTCTGGGTATATATTAGTGGGTGCTTCCTGTGCTTCATAAGCTTGTTGAAACATTTCAATTGGTATTCCATCAATTCCTGGAGCCTTGTTTTGGGCTAATGCTTTCAGTGCAGCTTGAACTTCTTCCTTCAGCATCATTTGTTCTTGCTCATATGATACCTCTAGTTGGTTGTTTTGTTTTTGCATAGAGAGTCTGTATATTCCTTATTTATTTATTTATTTATTTTTAACATTTTATTAGGGGCTCATACAACTGTAATCCCAACCCATACACACATCAATTGTGTAAAGCGCATTTGTACATCGTTTCTCAAAACATTTTCTCTCCATTTAAACCCCCGACATTAGGTCCTCGTTTTTCCCCTCCCTCCCCGCTCCCCCCTCCCGCATGAGCCCTTGATAGTTTATAAATGGGTATTTTGTCATATCTTGCCCTGTCCGACGTCTCCCTTCATCCACTTTTTGGTTGTCTGTCCCCCAGGGAGGAGGTCACACACAGTTCCATGTAATCGGTTCCCTCTTCCCTACCCATTCTCCCTTTACCCTCCCTGTTTTGCCACTCACACCACTGGTTCTATCTTTTGATGATGCCTATATCATTCTATATTTTGTCCACAGAATCTTTCATGATCACAATTTAATTAATGCTTGAAGTTTTTATTTAGTTTTTTCAGTTTAATATATTCTGAGCGTGTTCTTTTAGGTTTTTTGACTCTAGGTCTTTGTACATTTCATTATAATATTTTACTTTGTCTTCTCCAGCTGCCCTTTGAAATTTTCTGTGCAGCTCTTTGACCTCCTCATTTCTTCCATTTGCCTTAGTTGCTCTACCATCAAGAGCCAGTTTCTCATCTGACATCCACTTTGACCTTTTTTTCTTTCTTGCCTTTTCTTAAAAATTAAAAGATCATTTTATTGGGGGCTCTTATATGACTTATAGCAATCCACACATCAATTGTATCAAGCATATTTGCACATATGTTGCCATCATTATTTTCTAAACATTTACTTTCTATTGAGCCCTTAGTATCAGTCCCTTTTCCCTGCCCCCACTCTCGTGACCCTTTGATAAATTATAAATGATTATTATTTTCATATCATACACCGACAGCTGTCTCCTTTCCCCCATGGCATCTGTTGTTCATCCCCCTGCGGGGGGTGGGGGTATCCATCATTGCTATCAGCCCCCTGAAAATTGAGAGGTAGACCCAATATGTTTGGGAGCCTATGATGTAGACCAGGGGTGTCAAACTGGCGGCCTGCTGGGACCACATGTGGGCCCTGAGGTAATTTTTTGTGGCCCACAATGCTCTGAAATAACATGAAAATAGAAAAAAATTGTTATGAAGAAAATAGCGCTTAGGGGAGGTCGAGGCAATACCGTACACACAATTCCCTCATTACATTTTATTTCACAGCATCGTGGGCCACAACTTGGGGGCTGCATGCGGCCTGCAGGTTGCCAGTTTGACACCCCTGATGCAGACTAATAAACACGTGGCTCTTTCTCCTACGAAGTTGAGTAAGTGCGTTGAACAGAGGAGGAAAACGGCCGACTTAGAGAAAGGAGAGCGAGGGTGAAGGAATGGCCCTGGCAGAGAGTCTGGAGACCTGGGTGCAAGTCTTTTCTATGCCATTTTGGGGCTCAGTTTCTTATTCCGTACAACTAGAGGAATTGGACTAGACAGGGTCCCCCCGGTTTGAATGCCTCATGTGGCCAGGACCATGATGTTGACATGTAAGCTGGCCTGAAGAGAAACAGAACGGTGATAACTGGTGGCCTAATGAGAGTACTTGGTCTAAATTAAGGTGGCTGTGGGCCTATACTTTGAGGTTTCCAGGGGAAGATACTCCCCAAGTTTGGAGTGACACTAGTCCTGTTTTACAGGTAAACAGCCCCCACAATTTCTGTCTAAGATGCCCACGTAGCTTTCTGGGAGGCTAGCATAAAATTCGGGCCTCTGCCCTAGGAGCGCAGCTTGGTTGGATCCCTGCCGCCTCTCTGACTGCATCTCCCACCACTGAACTCTTGCTTTGTACACAAGTCTAGTCATGCACTTGTTTTCCTTCGACCTGGGCCTCTGTTTCCCCAGGCCTTTGCATGGTCAGCGCCATGCTCAGGGACACCTTGGCTCAGCCTGGTTTACCAGCCACCAGAGCCCTGCCATCTTATCCACTGACATGCTGATTTCTTTGCAATGTTGACCGCTCTCTCTGATTCTGTGGGTGATTTCTTTGCCTTTTGGTTTATTGTTTCGCCTACACAACACCAATGGCATGAAGCACCACTCTTGTCTGTCTTGGTCACCACAGTGTCTTCAGCTCCTGGAGAAGTACTGGAGAAAGCTGCCACTCAGTAGGTCGTTTTCTGGCCAGAGAAGTGTCTTGAGTCCTCTCATTCTGGTCATAGAATCAGCTTCAGTCACGGACACGAAATAAGGGTCCTGGTCTCTCATGTAAAAGAAGTCTGGAACTTGGAAATCCAGAATGCTCTTCCCGATTATAGAAAGCAGTAATAATCCAGGTGTCCCGTCATCCTTAGACCACGACCTCTTTCCCAGGACAAGCAGTCTATCAGAGCCATGGTCACTGTTTCATAGTTCAAAGAAGCAGGTGAGTGGCAGGGCGGGAATCCTATACCTCCCAGCTGAGTCAGCCTCTGTAAGAGGCCCCACAATGTGATTTCTGTGTACAACTCATCCGTACCCTCAGCTCAAGGGAGACTGGGGCCAAATCCCTCTGACTTGCAAGTTTCTGCTGTGCCATGGCTCTGGGAAACCATGTCAAGCATTTTCGGGTATCCTCAGTGGGAACCAGGTCTAAACCAGCTCCCTCATTTTCAGGTGAGGAAAAAGACCCAAACAGAACTGGGATAACTGGAGGCCTAGTAACATCACCTCTGCTCCGTTAACCTGACTGAGGTGTCTGGACTCCGCACTGTCCTGTGGCTGGTTACCCAAGGGAAGAACTTGGGGCGTGGGAAGAGAGACCGGGCATTGAGTCTCCTTACCCAGGGCCTTTCTCAGCAGCTTCGTTCACAGAAGTGTCTGAATTCTTTTCAACTGAAAAGTTTGGATTGGACCCTGCCTTGAGTATTTCTCAGCAGCCTACATTTCCAGAGGCTTCTCTCTTGAGTAGCCTTCTTCTGACATGTTTGCATGATATTGAAGAAGTGGCAGTGTGGCCTGGAGCCAGCACCTCTGACCTGGGTCTCAACCTCTGCCTGTGTTTGTTTCGCTCACAGACTGTTGGTCCTGCCAAGAGAGTGACTTCCTTCGAAAGCTAAGGGCCACCGTACCTTGCCGGCCTTGCTGCTCCGAAACAGCAGCAGACCCTCTTTTCAGTCCTCAGAAAAAAGGAATCCATCTTTCCAGAGGATGGCAGGTAACCATTAGCTATGGTGGAGTTAAACTTGTTACAATTGATAAGATAGTGAATGCATTGCGAATTATAAAAACTCCAAATTAACACTGAAATCTTGGGTACGACATGGATCACTATCTGGAATCCCCTTATTTTGTATTTTTGTTTTGTTTTGTTTTATTCTTCACCCCAACCCCATTTGAATATACATTCCTTGAAAGTGAGCACCAGGCCTGCTTCACCCTGGAATAATCCCCGGGTCATAGTAGGTGCTCAGTTGAATGAATGAGCCCCAGCGACGATCACAGTAAACTACATTGAGGTTATTCTACCCTACTTTTATTTCTGTTCATGATAAGCATGCACATATACACACACAATGCGGCAACTTCTTTTTTTCCTCTCAGCAGTTGAACATGGAAATCCTTTCTGTTGCAAAGCCTGCACAACTCCAACTTGTTCCACACACTAGAGTGTAGATTAGGGTTGACAGCTTAAGTGGGACAATTCTTTGTTGTGGCTGGTGTCCTGTGTATTGTTGGGTGTTGAGTAGCACATCTCCTGGATGGCAAATTTGCCCCCAGTTGAGAAGTGTTGGTATTGATATTTCATTTTTATCTGTTCTCTTGTTAAACACTCTGTAGACTTCCTTAGTAGCAAATGAATCCAAAGAGTTAAAGTAAAAATGTTCATCATTAACCTAAGCTATCAAAGTCAACCTTTATACTCACTTGAATGCCCTGAAGCTGTTTACTTCAAACATTTTTAAACCAAGATGTTAATAATGTAGCGTTAGAGACTGCCCAGGCAAATTTAAGCTGCCCTTTTGGAAGAAGTACAGCCAGAATATTCCGTAGAAGCAAACATGGTAAGACTTCGTCTTATGTACATTGGACATGTTATCAGGAGAGACTGGTCCCAGAAAAGGACACCATGCTTGGTAAGAGAGAAGGACAAGCAAACAGAGGAAGACCCTCCACAAGGTGAATGGACCCCAGTGGTTGCAACAGGGGGCTCAAGCGTAGGATCCGTTTTGAGGATGACACAGGACTGGGTGGTGTTTTGTTCTGTGGAACACAGGACAGCTGTGAGTTGGCGCTGACTCAATGGCACCTAACAACAGCAGGTGAAATGCATACATGATAGCATGGGACCTTCTGAAAGGGGGAAACTCTAGTGCAGGGGCTAATAATGTGAACAATGCAGCCATGCCCGTAAGACCGGAATCTTCTCTGAGCCTTTATCAGGAGGCAACCATCAAAACCTTTGCGGTAGGGGAAATAGCTCTGATGGCAAACATTGACCTTGACTCCTGTCCAAATATCTTTTGGATAAGCTTATAATATTAGCTCAAAAGTACAAGTCAAGATTGCTAATCTTTGATTTAACATGTTATGGTAGTGCATGAGAAATAGAATTGGACCTTTCTTGCTTTCACTGATAAAAGTTAGTCCACAACGGGCTCAAAGTCATTTTTCTCCCGTTACTTCTCTTTCGACCCTTAGCAGAATCAGATCACACAGTGTATCCTGAGCCACAGAGACTCTCAGATACAGGAGTCGTTGTTTAAACTTGCTGTGTGATCGCTCACGGCTGCAATGGAAACCACGGTGGAGAATAGAAACTGCTCAGTGGTGTTCCCCTTCGAGTCGCAGCTCCTCCTCCAGATTCGCCCCGTGGTCTCACTCTCCGTGCTCCCGAGTCCACACAGCGCTCCTCTCCGTGCTGCTTTCTGCATTCTCAGGAACTCCAGCTCGACCACTACTCACCTAGCTGCCTTGTCCCAAGTCTGCTTGCTCGGGTGTTTCAGCCCAGACTGCACCCTGGTTGCTATTCTCTGTCAGGGCTGCCTGCCTGGCTGTTCATGTGCTGTGGCCTGCGTTGTGCCCAGTGTCAGGTGACTGCAGGTGTTTCTGGGGCTCTTCTCTGCTGCACTGGTAAGGCTAAGGGTGGAGGCTCTCCAGAAGTTCTGCTATTGCTTTGGAGCCACCAGCTTGCCAGGAAAGTTTTCCACCCACGATGGCTGGTTCCTGGTGGGTGGTTTAGTTGATGGTGCTCCCTGCTGAGGCTGATGGATGGGTCCAAGGCTTCCCTCCTCTGTGCTCCCAGGAAGGAAGGTGCAAGCTCCTCCACCCATTCACACTGGAAATCATCCGCATCTCCAGATCTGAAGCCATTGTATGTTAGCATAGCTGTAGTCTATCCTGGTGCTGTAGTGGTTAAGTATTGGGCTGCTAACTGCAAGGTCAGCAGTTAGAGACTACCAGCTGCTCCATGGAAGAAAGATGAGGCTTTCTATTCCCATTCCCATTCTGTCCCAAAGAAGGACAATCTCAGAAACGCACAGGGTGGTTCTAGTCTGTCCTAAAGGACCGCTGAGCATTGAAACCAATGGCAGAGTTTGGTTTTGAGTTTTGGTCATCGGTCCAGATAGAAGAGTGTGGTGACGTCCCATGTCTTTCACCTCTTCTATACTCAGATATGTTCCTGGAGCCTGAGGCCAAGCAGACCCTCTGCCTGCACCTGGGAAATGTGCTCGTAGTGGCAGTCTGCTGCGTTCTCTTCCAGCTTTCCCAGGGGCTTGGGTCCAGACTTTGTGACCCTTTCTTCTTTTAGCATGTCTATCTAGATTTTCTTCTAGGATTGCCAGCTCATTTCTCTGGCCCTTGGTCTTGGTGTTCATAAATTCTAATTCATGATGTTTCCTTATTACTGTGCTTGCCCGTGGCATGGGGGCTCCAACCCATGGTGCTGTCCCCTCTGTGTGTTTGCTCCGGCACGCCTCTCCCGATTCTGGACATTCCTACAGTACAGTCTGCACCACTCCCCCTGGTTCCTGAGCTTCCACGACTCAAGTCTATGTTGCACCCAGGTGCTTTTCTCTCCCAGGCCTTGTCCACCTTGTAACTTCATCCGGAGCAAAGCTGATTATTCAGTCTGTGGCCCCTGTGCTGCTCCTATCTTGGTCTCTCTGCTTGGAAGTGCTGGGCTGGTAGGTCAGGTGGGATGTCCTCGAACCTTATTTGGCTTCTGTCTGCCTCTATTGCTTATATTTCTTAGTACGGTGTTCATGTTAGTTCTTCAGCCCTTCATCTGGTATTCATGGTCCCTAGACCATTGCTTTCATCCATTTTTAATGTGTTTTCTTCTAGCCTTCTTGTGGAGGACCGTGGGGATGTAAGTATGGCCTCTGTCTTAAGGATGTAACTGCTTGTTCTTTAGTAGACATACTTTGACCAATCTTATTTTTGTGTATTAGAAAACTCGAGTCATGATGAGGTAGGATAGAACTAGATTTTTTAAATTCTCATTATTTAAAAATTGTTACCCATTCATAAGATAGGTATTTCTAAGCTTCAGCTTCCGATGGATCAAAACATTGGATTTTCGTCTTACTTATCATTGAATTTCAACAGAGGAATTGCTCTTATTGAGAAACATTTTCTTCTCTCAATTTAGGAAAGAAGGTGTTGATCGTCTATGCACACCAAGAGCCCAGGTCTTTCAATGGATCCCTGAAGAAAGTGGCGGAGGAGGAGCTCAGCAGGCAGGGCTGCTCGGTCACTGTGTCTGATTTATATGCCATGAACTTTGAGCCCAGGGCCACAAGGAAAGATATCGATGGTGAGTCACGGGATACTCAATCTTTCATTTTCCTCTTTAAAAAACAAACATGCTTTGAAGAAAGCACATAATTGGATGTGACTTTTCCCTACCCCCATCCCTTTGCCCTGCTTTCCTGGCCCCGTGCTGACCAGTGGTGATACTTCTGTCTCACTCCTCCCGAGACAGTCCCTGCTACACATGCAGTCATGAGTGCATGCTCCCTTCTGCAGTTCACATACAGCTGGTTCTATTTTACACATTACTTTCACACTGCCTTCTTTTTCACTGTTGCAAAGCACACCAATTCCTCACTTATCTATTGTCTTGTTGTCTGACATTTCACATTTATTACAATAGTGAAAAATCTACTACTCAATTATTTTGCATATTAGCAACCTGTGTGCCGTAGTAACAAATGCCCAGGTGCAAGGTGAGAATAACACCGGCTGTCGTTAAGATTATATGTCAACACGGCTGGGCCTCGATTCTTAGTCATTTGGCTGTTATCTAATCATGTAATTTGGCAATTATGTAATAATGTAGTCATCATCCATTTTGTGAGCTGCTGTGGTTATCTTCCTTTTTTGCATAATGCCAATTTTGGCACAACACCTGGTATTTGGAGCCAAACCATCTTGGTAAGTGAGGAGTGGCTATACTCCATTGCATGGAGAGAAACACTTACATAGCTTCTACTAAAGGCTATTTTAGGTTGTTTTTGATATTTTGGTGCAATGATTAATCATGGCTATATGCCTTTACTTCTTACGCAAGTATATCTAGAAATAGAATTACTAGTTAAAGAGAATGTGCATTTTCTTCTCTTTTTTTTTTTTGGTATCAAAATGCTTTCCATAAATTTTATACCAGTTTACACTTCTACCAGCAAGTTAAAAAGTGCCTCTTTCCTCACACTGTCAATAACAGTGTTAAGAAGGTTTTCTGCAACTGCTGGTCTGACAAACTGAAAAGAAAGAAAGAAAAAAGGCCTCTTTGTGCAGTTATAGTTTGCTCTTCTCTCATTATAAGTGAGGTTTAGTGTCTTTATATATATTTAATAATTACTCATATTTTCTTTCCTATCATTGATCTGTTCCTATCCTTTTGCTCATTTTTGTAGCACCTTGTTGGCTTTTTTTTTTCATTGATTTTTAAAAGCTCTTTATATATGAGTGGGTTTCATAAGTTGGTAGGAATATTCTATTATCTATGAATTCAATTTTCCACAAACTTAAAGCTTCCCTCATATTAAAAAATTGACATATGGTGTGAGAATTGTAAATACTTTTCCCCCAAATTTTCTTTTACATTTAGTTTACTTTTGATGTCTTGCGGCTTTTTTTTAATGCAGTAGTTTATTTAGTTGGTTTTATCAGTATTTTTATTTGATGATCTGGCTTTTATGTCATAAAACATACTCTGTGATTATAAAAAACATTTATGGTGTCTTCTGCTATGTGACAGGTTTTACTTTTTTGCATGTACATATTTTTTCTACTTCAAATTTATTTTGGCGCATAGAGTGAGGTATGGATCCAATTTATTTTCAAATACCTATTTAATTGCCTCATCACCATGTATAGAATAATCCAGCTATATGTATCGTATGTAACCAGCAACCTTCACTAAATCCTAAATTCCTACACACACTTGTTCCTATTATGTTTTGTCTATCTAGTTATGAACCAGTATCCCAGGTTTCAATTAGTTTGGCCTGTCATTTGATAATTATAGAGCCAGGTCATCATAAAACTGTTTGTGTCTCGGTTATCTGGTATCGCTGTAACAGAAGTACCACACGTGAACGGTTTAACAAATAGAACTTTATTCTCTCACATTTCAGAAGGCTAGAAATACAGATCCAGGGCACATACTCTAGTGTTGAAAAGTGAGGATGTCAGTTTGAGGACTAAGGTGCACTTGACCCAAACCATGGCATTGTCATCCATTTGGGATGCGTGTGAAAGTTGGACATTGGATAAGGAGGACCACAGAATCGATGCGTGTGCGTTTTGGTGCTAGTAAAGACTATTGGAGGGACAATGGACTGACAGAAGCGCGAACAAATCTCTCTTGGGAGCATTATCGCCAGAATGTGCCTTAAAGGCAAGGAAGGCAAGACTGTCTCACAGACTTTGCACGTGGCATCCGGAGAGACCAATCCCTGGAGCGGGGCATCATACTTGGTAAGGTAGAGGGGCACCGCAAAAGGGGAAGACCACCAAAGAAATGGATTGGCATATGGGCTCCAACATAACCACAGTTGTGAGGACGGCACAGGATTGAGCAACGCTTCCTTCTGGTGTACATAAGATCTCTCTGAATTAGAACTGACTCAACCTCGCTGGATGGGTTTTGTGGACCATGTTGTTCTATCTGCGTGTCCTGGCCAACAATGACATCCAGTGATAATCTGGAAGCCTAAGTTAATGCGAAACAACTGTATGTGACTCCCCCAACACGCGAATTCCAAAATAAAAGTGATATTAACATCTGTGCACTGCATGCTGTGAGCCTCCTCCCTCGAATCATTTTCTAATAACATTTTCTAACGTGGAGTCTGTGAACTGACTCGCCAGCTCCAGGGCCCGAATCCTTATGAGACAACAACAGTGAAAGGCTTCTTTGGTGATCTGGAGAGCCGAATGTCATGGATTTAATTTTGTCCGTCCATTGAGTTGTTCTAACTCATCGTGACCCTGCGTACAACTGAGTGAAAAACTGCCCGGTCGGGTGCCATCCTCAGACTGTCAGGTTTGAGCTCCTTGCTGCGGTCAGTGTCTCAGTCTCTCTTATTGAGCGCCTGCGCCTTTTTCACTGGTCTTGACGAAGCATGATGTCCTTTTCCAGGGACTGGGCGATCTCTTCTGACAACACGTCCAAAGATGTGAGACGTTCTAAAGAACACTCTGGCTCTACTTCTTTCAAAACAGATGTGTTTGTTCTACTGGTAGTCCCTGTACTTTCAACATTTTGTGCCAACGCTATTCAAATGCGCCTATTCTTCCTTCGCCTCATGTATCGCCCAGCTTTCGTAAGCATACGAGGCGATGGAAGCGAACTTTTTAGAATGGTTCTCATAGTTAGCTGGAGGTTCTTCCGGGAAACATCTTATTTGCCTCCGAGTAATGCAAAACCTTATACAAACCCCAAAGAGACGGAAGTAGGAGTCAGGGGAACATGGCATAATCAGGCTAACTACAGAAGTCAGTTAGGTTACCGTGTTTTCACTTCAGGTCACCCAGTGACTCTTGGAATCCTCCCCTCCCCTGGCCTTCTTACCCGGGTCTAGGTCAATATGGTAGAAGGATTCTGTCCTTCAGATTAACTGCCACAGAGGCAGACCCCACCCTCTGCTGGTTCGCACTACCCCCTAGAATGGCTCACAAAATTCGTGGAGACGATTACCTAATTTTACAGTGACCGACTTATCATCGTCAGAAAGGAGGGTTCCAGTGCAGAGACCAAGCAGGTGAGCATTGGGAGGTCTTGCAGGAGACTTCTTTTGTCCCTAGGTTCACGCCACTCCTCCCACTCGATGGATGCTCTCACCAGTCTAGGAAGCCAAACTGCTTCTATGTTCAGGGCCTCTGATAACAATGTTTGTGCATTATTCTGGCCTCACTGTACAGTAATAATTAAGTGCTTCATTGCATATGCATTATACATTGAACACATGAATACAATTGATTGAATCATGTTTCCTTCTCTTCCTAGAAATTGTTTGCCAGGTGTGGTCCTTAGGGCTCCCATTATATTTGCATATGCCTGGCACTTTCAGGCACCTTGATTGCTGAAAAATGCCAAGGGCTACCCTCAACAGCCAGACACTATGGCCAAATTCAGTGTTTTCCCTATAGCGCCCTCCCACCCCCCAGATTATTTTGAAAATGTTGTGCATATTTGAGATCTTACATAATTCTTCTTAGCTGGTTGTTGTTTCTGTACGTGATGATGATTAATTTCTCCCTCTCTATCTCTGTGTATGTTTATCCAGCCACTTAACTAATGTCTTTACTATTTGTAATGGTTTTCAGCTGATTCTCTGTCTTTCCAGACACACTCAAATCACTTACAAACAATTCAATGCAATCTTTCTACTATGTAACACCTCTCGTTTTGTTCCATTGTCCAACTGTGTTGACTGTAGCCCCAGACATAATATTTGGTATTCATGGGGATTGCCCAAACCTTTTATTGTCACAATGACAATGCTCACCATTGCTTTTTAATAATTCAATCATTTTCTCTTAAAATACAGCGAAGACTTGGAAGTTGAAGAATTCTAAGACCCATTCATTTTCAAGTGAATAAAGTAACATCAGCACATTGTAAGAATTATTTGAAAATGTAAATGAGCATAGGCTAAATAGTAAAACCTTTTTATCTACACACCAGAACCAAAGAAGTTTGGCTTTTGAGTGTGCAGTATTTTATATATTATTCCACACATTAGCAAAATTACACATTTATGAGGCATTTGGAAACACTACTAGATACAGATGTAAATGGATGCCCCAGCTTAGTAGGCCTACTTGATTCTCTTAGCTATATGTGTGTGTGTGTCTCTTAAACAGAACTCCTTAGTCTATTGAATGATAACACAGCTTTGGGGTTGAAGCATGCCTTCCCAAAGCACGTGTTGTAAATCCTTACCTCTATGCTTGTGGCTATAATCCTACTTGGAAATTGGTTGTCTTGAGATATTAGCATATGTATAGGATTAGAATAGCGTGTGTCCTGAGCCGATGTCTTTTGAGATATGAAGAGATTAAATAAGCAAACAGAGGAGAGAGATGGGGTTAAATAGGTGCCAAGATGCGTGGAGATCTCCAAGAGACCAAGATGAGCCCTAAAGGGACAAGGCTCTTCTTCCAGGGCTGACAGAAAAAGCCTTCCTTAGAACTAGCACCTTGCACTCAGACTCCTAGTCTATAAATTATGAGAAAATAAATTTACTTTTGCTATAGGAGGCAGTAGAGTTAGCCTGCTGTTAATCAATACCAGAAATGTAGCAT